TCCAGGCATCTGAAAATGGGGGAACTAAGTTTGCGGTCAAGAGCAGCTATATCATAGAGAATTTGTATAATACAATATAATTTAATTGAAGGAACACATATTTAAGTATGTGACATTGTGTTGAAGTAAAGGATTCGCTGAACGTTCTTCAGAGATTTTGGGGTACTTCATTTGAGATTCCTTAAAGGGGCCTGGTTCTTGAAAAGTTCTGACCATACACTCTCTGGGTATGTCTACACTACCCTCCTAGTTCGAACTAGGAGGGTAGTGTAGACATACCCTAAGACTGTAGTTTGTTTGTGTGTGTGTGTGTGTGTGTGTGTGTGTGTGTATGTGTTGCTTTAACCCTGTAAATAATACATGTTTTTTTCTCCTAGTTAATAAATCGTTAGTAAGTTTATTACAAGACCGGTTACAAGCATGGTCTTCGGTGAGAGATCAAGGTGACAGCTTACCTGGGCTCGGTCTTGTGGGACTGGGAGTAAACTGACTGGTTTGTTGTGATTTTTGTAATAACGGACCATTTATCACAAAAAGAAGGCTCGCTTGGGATGCTCAAGAGGACTTTCTATTACTCCATGGTAGGTCTGTCATAGAGTTGTAAGAATTCATACCTGTTTCTTGGCTGGAGAAATCTAATCATAGAATATAAAACCCATTTGGGATTTGTGCCCTTCCCATACAGCCTACCCTGAAGTTGGCACTGTTGGCAGAATTGTTTGATGTACATGAAATGCTTGTATAATTACAACTGATTGATGGTCTATATATAATTAGCCTAGTTGCAACATGTGTATTAGTGCCACCATGCATTAGTGTATCCATGCATTACATCATGTTACCATTGGTTTCAAAGATGTCATTTGATTTCTTTACTAGTTGTCTGTATATTGACTGTTTCATTTCAAATTTAAACGTGTAAATGAATATTCATGAGCTAAGCCGTTGTTTCATGAATATTCATAGAGAATGACTTATCGCATTAATTGATAAGTGTTTTGATTGTAGACCAATAAGTTTGAAGTATGCTAATATCGCATCCTGTACAGACCAATTGTTTTAAAGTAGAACCCTCATGCATATGCATGAACCTAACCTATAAAGGCCTGAGCAACACCCGTTTCAAGCGGTTGCGCGGGGTTGTGTTGGTGCATCGGGCTTAGTTCTAGGTTAGGCTAGTGCATGCATGAGAGAGTGTATGTGGTCTAGTATCTTGTCCTAGGTTTGAATGTGTGAGGGTTAAGAGTCATCTCAGAGTTAAGACAAGCGGAAGGCTTGATCTTATACCCTATCTTATTTTAGTTAGGTATAGTTTAGTTAGTTTAGATTTTAGCTAGGATTAGATCTCGTCGTTGAGTCTGTATGTCAGGCAGCATCGGTCCACACACGTCGGCCGTCGTCGTGCTTGTATGTCGGGTGCGTCGCGAGTTAGATAAGGTTTTATTTTAGGTTAGATTAGGCTTACGTTAGAATAGAGAGTCTAGCTTCCATCGCCGTCGAGCTGCTTCCGAAGTGCAGGAAGAGGGACGAGGACCTTGACGACTTCACGGAAGGAGAATCGGGAACTCCTCGCACTCAACCAGCACTTCAAGGGATCTCCTGGCAACTCCTCTCCCGAGGCATTAAATTAGCCAAAGGATTGAGGTCGTCAGCAACCCATCTATTGTCCTTGCGTCGCTAAGACTCTGGTAACGTTATTAAGTATTTAAGGGGACTGCCCCCTTTGGTTATTTGAGATATGTTATAATATAGTCTAGTGGTTATAAACTGCATCCAGTTTGTCTAGTTTTCATTTATGCGTCGCCACTCATGGTAACAGAATAAACCCTGGTGATTAGATACAGGATTTGGGGTCGCATCTGTAATCTATCTTTTCATTAATTAGGCTGATTGGTATCATTAATTAATACACTGTCCTGAGACTGGGCTTTACGAGGCATTATCAGTGGATCAGCATAACAGCATTCACGTTCATGAGCAACTCCAAACAGCATGCCAATCTCTACCTGCTTTGACACAATATCCAGTATCCAATAACAGTAGCAGCAGACACATCTTTAGATGGGTTAAAAAGTAGTGCTTCCAGTAAAGTGGCCAGAAAGAGACTTGAGACAGTTGCGTTCACATCAAGAGTCCTGGTGGCAATCGAACAGCAGTATGCCTGAGTTGAAACACCATTTGGGTGAATGGCTTAGTGCACGTTAGTTTGGTTTGAATTTTAACAGAGAAACAAACCACAAACCCTTAGTGACTTTATCGGATTCAATAGCACTGGGTAACCTTATATCTAGGATTCAAAGATTTCAATCAAGCCTGATGCATTTTCTTTTCAACATTGTAAACACAAAGCAAAAGACTCTCTGGCTGCGCCTAAACGATACAGTTTTTAGGCTACGTCTAGACTACGTCTTTGGAAAAAGCTTCTTTCGAAAGAGAGCGTCTAGACTGCAATCACTTATTTAAAAAAAGCAAGCCACTTTTTTGAGAGAGAGCACACAAGCAGTCTCGATGCTCTTTCTCGAAAAAGCCCTGTTTGCATTCAAGAAAGCCTTTTTTTGAAAGACAGCAAACTTTCAAAAAATACATTATTTCTCGTAAAATGAGGTTAACTGCAGTCAAAAAAAATGCCGTGTTTTTTCGATTTAATTTTGAAAGAACACAATGGCAGCTTAGACGCAGGGGAAGTTTTTTCAAAAAAAGGCCACTTTTTTCAAAAAAACCCTGTAGTCTAGACACACCTTTAGTGACATGGACATGTAAACACAGTTGCTAAAAGTCTGACAGAGTGAATGCTGTTTGTTGACACTTTTGCAGACACAGTTCTTCTATCCTGATAGGCATGCACAGCACATTTCATTAGGGTGTGCACCCAAAGAATTTTTAAAAAATATACTTTGACCCCTCCATTAGCCATACCCCTGACCCTTGTTAACCACACCACTGTGAGGATCTCCTATTCCTACTTGAAAGTAGGAATAAAAGATCCTCCAGAAAAGGGTTTATTTTCCAGAGAATCATGTCCAGACTGGCGCTTTTCTCCGGCTTATCCCCAAGCTGGAAAAAAGCGGCAGCCATGTAAATGCAAATGCCGCGGGGGAATTTTAAATCCCCCACGGATTTGCAATTGCGATGTGTCTCATTAGCATCCCTTTTCCGGAAAGGGATGCCAATGTAGACACAGCCGACCAGAAATAAAAGGTGTCATGTGACACCCCCCTCCCCAAGGACTTTTCCCACCATCCTCTTAACAATAGGGATTAGTTTGGCCTCCACCAACCCCCCCATGCAACTATCCTGCAATTGCATTAATCCAATGTGTGTGACATTAATGCGGGGGTGGAGAGGCTGGGGAGGAGGAAGTGTTCCCTCTAAGTTTCCTCCCATGAGGAGAATGAATTTTGTGTTGTGCACCAGTACAGAATTCAAGTGGCTTGTTTGGATGTGCCATTGTCGCACCCAAGTTATTAATAAATATCTACCTTTCCACTTTGCTGCCATGTCTCCTCTCCTGGCTCCATCAGCTCCTCTGGTGCCTGCTGCCTCACGCTCCTCTGCTGTCCTGACTCCTGCCCTTCTCACTGCCCTCAGCCTTCCTGAGACCTGCCCACCTCCGCCAGCCCTTCTCTCCCCACTGTGCCCACTCCTCCAGTAGCCCCACTCTGATCATGTGAGCTACCCCTCCTCATCCTCTCGTCTAACACCTCCCTTGCCTCTCTCCTCTGGTGCTGGTCCCTCCCCTGCAGGTGTCTTCCCTTCTGCTTCACCCCCAGGATCCCCTGGCATTTACACCTTCCCTTACTCCTGCCCCCTCCTGGTGCCTGCCCCTTCCTTCACTGCCCCTGCCACCTTTGCCCTTTTTTCCCCTGATGCCCATCCCCTTACCACCCTCTGCTCCCATTCCCCTCATGCCCCTGTGCCCTCACACGTGACTTGCTCCAACCCCACCTTCCTCATGCCTACCCCTTCTGTCAAGCCTTCTCCCAGCACCTCCCCCTCCTATCCCCAATGCCCTTACCCTCTCCTCTTCCGGCATCACCCTGTCCCCCTCCCACTGACACATCCCCTCCTGCCCTTTTCCTCATTGTCTCCACTTAGCCCCCTACCATTTGTTTCTCCTCTACCCTGTCCCTTTGGTGCCTTCCCTTCTCTTCCCCTCCGTACAAGCCCCTTCCACCTCTTCCCGTTTCTTCTTCCTCCACCCTCCCCCACCGCAAAAGCCCCTTCCTCTCCCCAACCTCTTACCTTCAGCTTCTGCCTTACAGCTTGCAGGGCTGGAGTCAGAGCCAGCCCAAGCTGCAGGGCTGGGGAGGGGCATCCCCAGGGCGCTGCATGGTGCTGCAGGGCCAAACACCACACGGTGCTGCCAGGACAGCTGGGATTACCCCCTGAGTGCCGCTCGGTGCTGTAGGGCAGGGCCCAGGCTACAAAAATGGCTCGGGCTGCCATCTGTAGTTGGACCCCAACTGCTTTTGGAGCTGGGCCACTGGGTTTTAAAGTTCCCGGTGTTTCCCCTCTTGCCTGTTGCATGGCATTTGAGCACGTCGCACATTCGATCTCTCTGTCCCACAGTGCCCAGTAGATGGCTGCTGGGAATTTAAAGTGAGGGGCTGTGGCACTCTGTCACAAATCCCCCTCTTCCTCCAGCAATTGCACACCCCATGCACACGCCTATGCTGATGAGCAAGATTCATGTTGTCGACAGGAGAGCACTCCTGCAGACAACAAACCATTCACACGGCCACTTGCTGTGGCAAACTTTTCTTTTTGGGGGAGGGAAGGGCTATTTAAGTACCTGTGAATGACAAAAGTTGTGTCATTCAATTGACAGTATAGAAAAAGCCTCCATCTAATGGCCCAACTAAGCAACTACCAACAGAAGAAGAAAAGACTTTAGAGAAAGACATCTATGACCAGGCCTACACTAGACCTTGGAAGTTCGGGTTAAGGTACGCAACTCCAGCTATATAAAATTAGTAGCTGAAGTCAGCTTACCTTAATTTGAACTTGGCACTGTCTTCATGGAAGGAGGCCAATGGGAGCAAATGCTCCCTTCGGCTTCCCTGACTCCTTGCAATTGCAAGGAGTACAGGTACCAGCCAGAACAGCCTTCAGCATTCAATTTATGGGCCTTAACTAGACCCACTAAATCAAATGCCAGAAGAGCAATCTCTGGCATGGCAAGTGAAGATGTGTCTTACCTCTATCTGGACCTTTTCTGGCAGTATCTACCCACCAACTTCAAGAGAATAAAGACAAATAATTAAAAGATGAGTCTTTCCAGACTTCAACAATGTGAAAAAGGTTGGGGTTGAAGGAGCCTAGTGAATGTAATACCATATTGGCAAGACCAAAAAGACTTTTACATGTCTGAGGGCCTGCTTCAAAAAGGTGGCATGGTACTTCATGAAGAGATGTTCTCCCAAATTCATAAACAAAGGATAAACAAGTGCAGGGTACGAGCACAGCAATTTACATGGTGGCCCATTATGAATAGGTAAATTCAGACCTTAATTGACTTAATAGAAGACTATGGGATATGCCTCATGGAGGTATGTGGACGGATGGAGGAGAATAAAACCACCACCAATCACCAGATTCAATATGCTCTGCAAAATTATCTGACAGACCTTGGTGATGGGTAGTCAAGGATTCTTTTTTGTGGAAAGTACACATACACATTATTGAAATTGATTACTTCTCCAGATACATTGACTTAGCAGTACTTAAACAGACTTAATCAGAACTGGTCATGCAGAAATCCAAGTCAATATCTGCAATACAAGCAGTTCCTGAAGTACTCACAGCTGATAATCACTCTCAATTTGCATCCAAAATATTCCTAGTATTTCCACAGGACTTTGATTTTAATCATACTTGTCATCCACATTGCCCACAGACCAGTGAGGAAGTAGAGAGGGCAGTTCAGAGACTACAAAGAAATCAGTGACTCTATAAAGCACTCCTGGCATCTCCATCAGCCCAGCTTGTATGTGGACTAACTCTGATGGGAAGGTGATTAAGGATGCCTTTATCTGTGATGCCAATATAGCTTAAACCTATTCTCGAAAGAATTTTGAAAATTGGATGCAGAAATAAAAATTGGGCAGCAACAAAACTTCAATGTGTAGCTTGTAGAAAAAACATTTCAACTGAGATCAGAGAATAAAATTTGGATCAAAAGTTCACAGGCATTTGCAATTATGCAGAATATTTCAAACTCCCAGATCCTACTTGGCGCAGGCTCCAAGAGGACTTCTCTGTTGGAGTAAGGTTCTTCTTCAATATTTCCCAACATAAACATGAGGATCCGGGACTACAGGAACTCTGCGAGAGAGGCACTTGTCATCACTTACAGCCCACCACTTAAACCCCTCCAACAAATTATCAACAATCTACAAACTATCCTGGAAAATGACCCCTCACTCTCACAGGCCTTGGGGGACAGGCCAATCCTCAGCTACTGATAACCCCCTAACCTCAAACAAATTATTTCCAGTAACCACACAGCACATCTCCATCATACTCATCCAGGAATACACCCCTGCAATCAACCCCAGGGCCAACTCTGTCCACACATCTATACAAGCGATATCATCATAGGACCTAACCACAGACAACCACATCAGAGGCTCATTTAAAGGCAAATCCACTAATAAGATCTATGCCATCAAATGCCAGCAGTTCCCCTCTGCCATGTACATTGGCCAAACTGGACAGTCTCCACAAGAAAGAATCAATGGACAAATCAGATATCTGAAAAGGCAACACAGAGAAACCTGTTGGGTGACATTTGAACTTGCCTGGGCACTCATTAATTAATCTTAAAGTCACCATACTGTTTCAGGTAAATTTCACAAGCCAGGTCCACAGGAAAGCCTTCGAACTGCGGTTCCCAATCTTTTCCAGGTGGGGACCCCATTTTGACAATTCAGGAAGACTTGATGACCCAAGGCATTTCAAAAATGGGGGGGAGGGAGGGAGGAAATTCAGGAAGACTTGATGACCCAAGGCATTTCAAAAATGGGGGGGGAAGGGAGGGCAGAGCCACCTGTGGAGACACTTGGCGTCCCTTTTTAAATGTAATGGCGACCCATATTTGGGTCCCAACCCATAGGTTGGGAAACCCTGCCTTAGAACCTAACTTCATTTACAAGTTTGATTCCTATAACAAAGGTATAAATGAAGACATTGGCAAGATGGCCCGTTACATTCCACATTCTAATGACATAAAAAAAACAAGCAACAGGTACTTAAGAACAGCTTGTACCTTCTCTATCAGCTTAATGTAGCATGCACACTCTAATTGACTGTTTCTTTTCCCTTTTTTCCCCCCCTTTCTGTTCCTTCTTTTTCCTTCTCCAGCCCACCCTTCCATACCCTATTTATTTAGAAAATGGACCTTTAATCTATTTATTTAGAAAATGGACTTTTAATAACTCCATTCATCTACATGTTTTGTTAATCTCTAAGGTGCTGCAAGACTATTTGTTGGTTTTTAATTTTTTCAACAGAAGTGAGAACATAGTCAGGAATACTAATCAGATTCCCTCAAATATTTGATCTTTAGAATACTGCTCAGGATTATTTAAATGTATTTAATAAAGGGACACACGAGTGTATAGTTTTAAGAGTTTTTTTTCAATTGTAGGGAGTACATACATTGATTTATAATTTGTTGTAATCTTTTGTTATATAGACAAAGAGAGGTGGAGTGGCCATAGAGTTCCTGATCCTCTACAATTACCAGAGAGTTCCAGAATGAGATACAACAAGGAGTTTAACAGATGTAGGAACTTCCTAATTAAGGAGTTTTCTAGTTCTGCTTAAAGTATGTCTCCATGTGTATCTCTAATAGTGTTACAGTGTGAAGTCCATAAATGAATTTCAATTCTGTGGTGTACATTTGTATATAAACTATTCCATATGTTGTCACAGAGGGTATGTCTACATTACACAGCTATTTCAGGATACCAGAGCTATCCCAAAATAGCTACCCTACGTCTACACAAGCTGCCCATTATTTCAAAAAATATTTCGAAATAACGGGAGCTCTATTTCACCATCCTGGTAATCCTCGTTGCATGAGGGATAAGGACTGGCTTGAAATAGCATGATATTTCAAAATTTGGCACTGTGTAGATATGCCAAATTTCAAAATAAGCTACTTTGAAATAGATTCAAGATAAGATATATAATTTGCATAGCTCAAATTGCATATCTTTTTCGGAATTTAGGGTGCTGTGTAAAGACATCCTAACTGAACAGTTGTGCAGCTAACTTTTACAATTAAACAATGTTAGCTGGTGCTTTAAAGAGAGAAATTATGTTAAAAAGATGCCTTTGTAGATTCAATATGCATTGTTTTAAAGCTAGATGCACTTTAGACTTCCTGAGTAATTTTGGTCCAGTTATTTCATCTATCAGTGACTTGAGATAATGCTACTTATTTTCTCTTATCCTTTTTCTGTTTAGGTTGCAAGCTCTTTGAGGAAACAGCTTTTTAAAAATTATGTGTATGTAGAGGTCTAGCACTACAGGGTTGGTGGGACATCAGTGTGCTCATGAAATACAAATAATTATTATACAACTTATTTGTGCTTTCTCCAGTGCTGCCCCTCATGCTTGTGAATGCCCATAAACATCAGCCAAGCCACTTCCTTAAAAACCTTCCTTAAAACTCTTCTTTTCTTTGATGCCTGCAAAAATCTTGACAAAAGCGAAGCTATTGCCTATCATGCTGGTTTTGTCAGTGTTTTCTTGCACTCTCCAGTCTGCAGCCATCTGCTGTCTTTTGCTTTATAGATAGCTTATAAGCTTCATGTCATAGAATCATAGAACACTAGAACTCGAAGGGACTTCGAGAGGTCATCGAGTACAGCCCTCTGCCTTCAAGGCAGAACCAAGCACCGTCTAGCCAATCCCTGATAGATGTCTATCCAACCTGCTCTTAAATATTTCCAGAGATGGAGATTCCACAACCTCCCTAGGCAATGTATTCCAGTGTTTAACCACCCTGACAGACAGGAATTTTTTCCTGATGTACAACCTAAACCTCCCTTGCTGCAGTTTAAGCCCATTGCTTCTTGTCCTATCCGCAGAGGCCAAGGAGAACAATGCCCTTTTGGTCTGTGTTTGTACAGTAACAGTACTATGGGTTTTGGTCCATCACTAGGATTCCTAGGTATATAATAATTAACAACAATAATATAGCACATATCCACACATCACATTCTTCCTCAACAGACAAGTCATTGTAAAGTATAAAAAATTAGATGAACACCATTTATGTTCAGTGGCTCTGTATAGTTTTCATTCTGCAGACAGGCCACTTTCTCACTCAACACCTCACTGCTTGGCTTTCAAAATATTGCATTCTACAGGTCATCAGGAAGAATCCATTCAGCCATTAAGGGGCCACTGATCAGAGGTCTTGGTAACCGATGGATACTAACTGGTGATACACATAATGTGAAGAAAACCTTTTTTCCTGAGAAATTTTGGTTTACCTCAGCATTGTTCTTCATTTAGTCAAGAGGCAGACAGATCAACATCTGCTTTGATTTGCATGCTCGTAATATCATTTTGTTACAGATGCAATGATGGATGAGGGGAGAGACGTATTGAATTATAACCTTGTAATCAGTAGATATTGATGTTGTTTATGTTATTGAGAATACGCCAAGATTAAATTACACTGTTAGTGATTAACTTTCTCATTCTGTACCAATTAAGTTTTCCTAAGACACAGACAGAGTTTTATGAGATTTATCAGCTTGTGATACAAAAACATGAAACAGATTTTTCAGTTGTTGCGTGTCTTCAGGAGAAGTTTCAAATATTCTAGTTTTAAATGAAAAAAATGCAATTTAAAACACTGAAATAGACATTTATTGGGCTGACTATTAAAAGTCTTCCCATCATTTGGTGAATGGAGAATCATCTACATATATTATAGAGCAGTAATTGTTACTTTCCTCCCATTAGTAGCAGTTTATGTCTCTGGCTGTGGCAGATTTTATAAGTATTATTATCCTCCTAATTTTGAGTTGGTTATGCTTGTGCAGTCCTGAACATTGCTTACTGATCACAATAAATTATATCCTTACTGAAGAACATGGTACACACAACCTTTATATCAGATATGGGACGGTCTATTTGCTTTGGATATTACATCAGTTCCAGTATTTACCATATTTTCATTAAATTCTTCACTTGTCGTCTTAAACAAAATTACCAATCAAGTACATTTTATCATAACCCTTAGAACACTAATAATTAATCTATAACATTTCAATGTATCACTCCACTTCACTAACCTACTATCTGTCTGCAAACAACTTTATTAAATTGCAGAGGGCTGCTAATTAGGCAAGGAATAGCAATTCCAAGGTGCCATAGGTTATCATACAGTTTCAATGCAAATACACAGAAAAGCAAAGCTGTGAATATGTATTAAATTTTTAAATACTGTTCTAGTTTATTTAGACTTCTTTATTTCTTTTCTACCAACTATCAGGAATGAACTACCTCATGATAACTGAAAGGTCTATGCATTGGAGCACCTGTAATTATCATTATATTTTCCTGATTTGAGAGACCAATTATTAATTCAAGGTATATCTGTGAATCACCAGGAACAGACGTTTTACAGAGATTTTAATCATTTGAAAATAAAACCCTTCAAAACCCTATATTTGTCATGCCGGTTGCACTTAAATTTTCATCTGCAGCTGGCTCTAAGTTTTTCTCTCATTCTCTGGACTCAGCTGATTTTTAAATACGAACTTGATTTTCATTTGCACTAAGACCATGTTACAGTACAACGGCAGCATAAAAGGGTCCCCTTAAAATAGGTGGATATGTAATTTACACGTTTTGAGATTCCCATTCATTGCCATTCCTTTCATTTGTTTTAGTTGATTGGTTTGTTTTCAGGACCTTAAAATAGGTGGATATGTAATTTACATGTTTTGAGATTCCCATTCATTGTCATTCCTTTCATTTGTTTTAGTTGAATGGTTTGTTTTCAGGAGTAGGAAGAGAAATATTGATGCCACCCACATAAACATGTTCTGTTTAGGTAACTTATGGGAAAAACAAACATAACTGGAGCACACTAAGAAATACCAGAAACAATTTGAAAGACCACACTTGTTTTTCAATTTCCTTTCCATGCTAAATTATATTTATATGTTCATATTTCTTAACCAGCCACATGGTGGGCTCAGTATCTCAAACCTCATTGCCCACTTCTGCTATTGGGCTTTCAGATCAGCACCAACTGTATGATACTCACTAATATTTAATGGACCTAGGGATATATG